TATATCTCTAGCCATAAGTCTTGGCAACTTGAAGTTGAAAAAGAGAGAAAAATCGGAATAGATTTCGCAGCTGAGAAGTTGAAGAGATGGAAGTTTGCTTTGAAAATCTTTGGAAAATATAGAAAAATAGTATAGGTTAGCCATCACTCTTATCATTTCCTTTCTTAATAAAGTTTATCATTTAGAAAAGTCCTAGTCCTAGTCCTATCTCGCCTTGTAATCCATTTGTATCTACATTCCTACAGCCATAGCCACATGGCATGGCATTAGCATTTCCCTTTTTTTTCCTCTGCGCACAAGATCAAGGATCAACCGCTTACGACACTTGACAGCTAGCAGGAACTAGCAGGAAAAAACAGCAGTAGCAGTAGCAGCAGCTTAGGAGCTGTGGAAAATGTGGATGACAGCGAAAACCCTGCACCACCAACCAACCCCCACCACCATCCAGCATAAACCAGCGACTTTCTCCAGTAGCCACTTGATGACTGCCAGCAAGTTGACACTAATCAGTTTAGCTTTAGCCCGACGCAGACAACTTGATTTGCATACACAAATGTGCAGCGCGGAGGTGGTAAGAGCGGGGGGAGGGCTCTTAGATTTTCCAAAGGATCATTGGAGAGGTGGTGGAGGAAAAAGGGCTGGTGGGAAAACCACTTAAGCGGGCAACTAGCCACACCTAAACAGGCCGTCAGTCAGCGAGTCAGAAGGGGGACATTTCCTTTAGCCAAACTCACACTTAACCCCCATTCTTGGCTTCCTCTTTTGCACCCCGTTTTGTTTTTTTTTTTTTTTTTTTTGCTGTGCTTCTTCTTCTTTTAACCCCCCACAAAATGGCAGCCAAAACAGGAAGTAATCTATAGTCGCTCCGCCATTGTTTATTGTTTAATTTTTAGTCAACGTTGTTGCTGTTGCTGTTGCTGTTTTGCTGTTGCTCAACTTTTGACTCCGCTGGCCCAAGTCTCCGTTCTGGTTATGCCTGCTTCCTGTTCGTCCTTCGTCCTTCAGCCAGCCAACCAACCAACCAACCAACCCACCCACCCACCTCTCTCAACATTTTCTTTTGGCCGTTTCTTCTTGTATTATTTCTATTGTTAACAGTTTTTGCATTTGCCGCTGCAAGTAGCGAAAACTTTTCACAATGGACCTTTGTTCCATTCCCCTTTACTGCCTCCTGCCACCCTGCCCTGCCCTCCCCTGCCCTATCCTGCCTTTCAACGATGCCACTTGAGCACTACAAAGCCAAAAAGAGTAAGAAAAAAAAAAAAAAAGAAAAGAAAAAGGAAACAAGAAAAGAGGACACTGAATGGAAAGTGGGAGGAACACACCAGACAAAGACGGCCCAAAATGCCAAAGACGACGACGACGAAGACGTTGACAACGGCGACAGCCTTGCACCCCCCTCTGGAAATACACAGCCTTATCCACCCACACAGCCTTATCCCACTAAACAACAACGCCCCTCCTGAAGTCATGACACGCCCGTATCGCATTTACTTGGATTTCGCTTTATCGGAGCGGCAAGGAAAACGGCAAGCCGCCGAACGACGACAACGACGACGACAACAACGTCACCCAGTTTCCATGGCATCATCATCATCAACATCAACATCAGCTGGCTTTTTTCCGCTTTTCCTCTATGCACTTAAAACAAATAGATGGACTATCTTGAGGGTTAAGGCAATTAAGGCTCAAAGAAGTTGTTAATAATTATGTTTAAGCCTACGAGTTATGCCCCAATTTTAAGACATAAGGCTAATGTCTAGAAAATATTGGCAAATTCTTTATAGTATTCTTTATACTAACTGAAGTTTAAGATTAAGAAAAATGTTTCAAAAATGTTTTTAAATCCTTTAACATCTTTTTTTTTACTGCCTTTTGATTGATAAACCTTTTCTAAACATTTTTGATAGACTTCTAAAATTTTGATTTCAAAATCAACCACAATTTTTCCCTGTGCCTGGCCTGCCACTTCTCACTTCTTCTCACATTTCAGACTGATATTTTCTCATTGTAGAGTTTTTCTTGAGGTAAAGAATATTCCCCACCTCCCCCTCAAACAACATTCAAATTTCAAATATAAAACCAATTATTTTCCCATTTTCCAACTTAAATCTCCGCAGTGTTTTCGTTTTTTTTTTTGTTAAGTAACGAAAAGAAAAATATATAGTTTGACTAATCCCTCCTCGGCTGATTAAGCCACTTAATTAATGCAGTAAAAATCAGTTAATTTACGGGGTTCATTTGGGCCGCGGTCGGAAAATGATCGGATAACTGTCAGTGGACGTCGTTCATTAACTTAATAGTTGCACTTTTTTGCGCAATCGATGCCCACACTTTGGGCACACGATTAATGGCTGACACATTCCTTAATATATATTTATATATATTCTGTTTTTTTTAGCCCATTTTTATGTCACTTAATTTAATATAATTTTAAGCTGTTATTTAAGATAGACTGGATTTATGATTATAGATTTTAAGGGACTTCTCTCTGCAAGGGCAATTTGTAAAACTTCGGCAAGCCGAAGCAGCCTGGCAGTTTGAAAATATATAAAATTTATACCTACTAATATTGAAATAAAATATATAATATATATAATTTAAATACAGAAAATTAAAAATAGAAACTCAAAAACCTAATGTTAAAATTTGCATAATAAATTGTTTGTAAATAATTTTCTGTTCTTCCTTAATTTTCATTTTCGTTTTACTTTTCTTTTCTTTTGTTTCTTTTTTGGTAAAAAACTTTCATTTTTTTTCGTTCTTCTTTTTTAATGAAGATTTTCAATTTGTATTGGAGCGGATGGCAGTATGCGTGTGGGCGTGTGTGTGTGTGTGTTTGTTGTGTGTGTGTGTGAGCTGGGGTGGTGAGTTTCTTTGTATTTGGAAAACATATAAACAAATGGCTTAGACGCAGACAATTAGGACATTTAGGGATACGTTTGGGGTTTTTGTAGGGATGTTTTTTTTTTTTTTTTTTTTTGGGGTTTTTCTTTTTTTTTTTTTTTTTTTGATTTTTTTGAGTGATAACATATAAGGATATACAGATATTTTCTTTCGTTTTACTTGCATTTTCTTTATATTAGCTTTGATTTTTTTTTGGTACTTTCTTTGTCTTTGTTCTGGCTGCTGACCTTTGGGTTTGTCATTTCATTTCATTTGGATGTGGTGGGGGGAAAACCTAACAAGTTTTCTTTTTTCTTTTTTTGTATACTTATAATTCCTCTTCGTTTGGTTAACAAAACATCAACAGAGAGTTATTAATCGATACGAAAACTGATAAAGTGATTCACATTTGATGAGATTTGTTTTTACCATAAAAAGCTTTGATCAAAAATCAAATGAAAAGACAACCGAAAAAATGGTAAAAAGAGATCAAGAGAGTTTCGAGAGAGAGAGAGAGAGCGAGATGAGGGAGGAGTTTCGTTTGATGGTGAAAATCATAACAAAGGATAAAAACAAAAACGATCGAGGGGGATATTTTGTGATGAGATACATTTATATATATATTGAGAGAAAGTGAGTAGAGGTGGGCGGAAAAAACTGAACTGCTCGAAATATTATGCTCACATGCCAAACTATAGGTTGGTTGGTAGAGTTGAGAGAAAATGAAATTAAATAACCATTAATGGGTTAGTATGAGTTAAGTTAATATCGAGATGTGGTGGTTGATTGGCAAAGAACGGAAGAATGGAACACAAATTGGAAAATCAAACTAAATACACATATAGACACGGTACACATAACACATACAGTTATTTTTATCTATACTATATAGATATATATGTGTGGAGATATATATATATATCGAGATTCTTTTTCATCCTGCCCTATATAAAGTATGCCGAACGAAAAACGATGAAAATTAATATGGAAATAAATATGAAAACATACTCATGATATGCATGTGTGTTTATATCTTTTTTGCGAGTGAGTGTATCTGTGTGTTTGGTGCGTGCTGGTGAGATAAAAAAAAAATTATGAATGCATTTTTTTTCCGTTGTTAATTTATAATTTTTTTCGATATTTTTTGTTGTTGTCTTTCTTTTTGTTGTCTTTGTCGTGTTTTATTTACATGAATGATTTGTTGACTTTTCGATCTCTCTTTGTGAGTGTGTGTTTGTTGCGGTTCTCAGTTTGTGTGTGTGTGCGAGTGTGTGTGCGTTGAAATGTAAGTTAAAATCAACAAAATGGCATTATATGCAGGGGGTAGTGGTGGTGGTGCGCATGAGGTCGATGGTGCCGGGTACAATTATAATGCAATTACAGCCCGCAGGCCGTTTAAATGTTGATCAACACAATTCGTGGCGCAAAAAATTCAAAAGTCAATTGCAGGCACAGCTTGTTTTTTGCCAAGTATTATTTTTAAGCTCTTTGTGGGGCATCAAAAATTAAAAGTTCGCTATGAAAGTTACCATGAAAAACAGCTTGGCTTATTTATATTTGCATTTATGGATTGGCTTGAATTTCATTCAATTTCAAACTTAAGCTGATGAAAATGTCATTTTGTAGACTTTTTAAATCTCTTTTATTAACTTGGATTAAAGGTAAATTGTAGAAGATTTAAATCTTAAGTAAAATTACTTTTAGCCTCAACTGCATTTGATTTAAGATTGGAAAAGCCATGGGAGATGGATGCCACCTACCGAACTGTGTCGAGTCTCTGGTGTGCGTGTGTGTTTTCTTTTTTTTTCATATTTTTAAGATGCATTTTACGGATTGAAAAACCGAAAGCGGAAAAACCAAAAAGGCGTTGATGCATTCTGTGGATGGACGAGTGGATTCGATGGATCAATGATCGGATGGATGATGCTTGGATGAGGAGGATGGAACATAAAATCCAGAATCAACTCAAGAAGATGCGAGACTGTAACAAAGATTTTTGTTTTCTATATTTTTTCTGGTTTTGGAGTACCCAAAAAAAATGTGTTTCCTTTTTTTTTTTTGTTCTTAAGTGTTTTTTTTTGTTTTTTTTTTTTTTTTTTTTTTTTTTGACTTACCAAGGTGTGAACGAGCTCCAGAAGAGACTACAAATTCACAGGTTGAAACGTAGGATTTTTTTTTATATTTTTGTGATTGTTTTTTTTTTTAGATTTTGATTTGCATGTAGGAAATGCATTTTGATTTTTTTTTTGTGTTGAAATTTGATTTGGATTTGATAGATATTTTTTTTTGGTTTTTTGGTTTTTGGTTTAGCACACAACATGAAGGTATCGAGCCACAGCAACAGAGTAGGACAGTACACAATTAATTGACAGGACAATAAAAAAGAAATCAAAAGACAAAAATGCGTTTCGTTAACGAATTGATCAAACTTTGATATTGCTTAACAATTGGTAATAATTTCTTTTTGGTTTTTTTTTTGGTTTTATTCTTTTAGCATACCTAAAGGTGGAGATTTGTACTTTCATAGCTTAGTGAACCAAAACTAAAAAAAGACATAACCAAAACGGAAATGGAAACGGAAACGACACGCTGGGCAAAGAACAGAAAAACGAAACAAGAAAAAAGAAACGGAAACGGAAAAAGAAAAAGAAGACATTTGACAAACACACTTAGTCGGATGATGAGACGAAGACGAAGACAGAGACGGAGTCGGAGAGATCGGTAGACATCTTCGGGGCTTGACTGACACACATATCATCTTGGTTGGTTTAGTATGGTTAGTTGGTAGTTAAAATGCGACAAAAACTCAACTCAAAAAGACAACGAAAGAGTATTTGGGGGGGAGTGGGTAAACGGGGAAATCGGAAACGGAAATCAAAACAGAAACTCAAAAGCAATTTCGGTCATCCTCAGCTTTAATTTTTTCGTTTTTTTTTTGGGGGGAATCCTCTCCTCTTGGTCTTGGCATCAGCGTAGCGCTATCTTTTTTGATTTAACATTTGGTGGTGGGGCGGGGGTCTCTTCAAATCAGAATCAGAAAATCATAGGCAAAAACATAACTCAAGATAAACACGCTATATAGATCATATATATAGAGATACAATGACGAGACTGTACTTCGCTTAAGAAACCAAACGAAAGCAAATCAAAGGTAAAGTTAACTATCGATAAATGTAGGGTCTAGGTCTGGTCTTAGTTCTTACACTCGAACTCGATTCTGATCGATCACTTACTCATCGATGGAGGCCTAACATCCACAGATCTTTCTTCTTCTTTTTATATATGATTAGTTTTTTTTTTGGTTATTTTTTTATATATATATTTTTTTTTTTTTTTTTTGGGGTAAGACGAACACAAGGAGGTTTTACACTAGACAACACACATACTCAATGAAGTGCTATCATTATATTTTCGCTTTTCTCGTAATGTTCTTAGATAGATTTCGATTTTTCTTGCTCCACGTAGAGCGGAGTTCGAGAGAATGAGAGAAATATGAAAGGAAAAGTTAAAGAAAAAATTCCAAAAAAAAATAAAAAAAGGATCCAAAAAGGACCCCCTAAAACTCAAGGAAAAACCAACTCAAGATGGTAAGTAAAGTTTTTTTTTTTTTGTGAAAATTATGAAAAATTTTGTAGAATATTTTCGGGTTTTATGCTTGGCGCTGGAAGTAGTCATCATCAGCGTTTGATTCTTCTCATTGGCTTGGCATTTCGCAGGCGGGCAAGAAAAGAAAAAGCTCAAACTGGGAAAATGTCGTTGCGTTTTCCTCTTTTCTTTTTTTTATTTTCTCTTTTTTTTTGCTTTTTTTGTTTTGGGAGAAATCAGGACACAAAAAAAAGGATCTTTGAAATAAACAAAAAACCAAAAGAAATTCAAAAACTTGAAAGTGGGAGAAGAGAACTCGGAGGAACGAGATAAAATAAAACTTTTGAAAATTCAACATTTCGACTTGAGATTCTCACATTCTCATCTCAATATTGTTCTTTTTTTTCGTTACTTTTTTTTTTCAGCGCATAAATGATAGACTCATTGAGGGGAGAGAGGCGTTCGGGATTGTGGGAATGTGAATGGGTTTAGATTTTCATTTCTTTTGCTTCTTCTTCTTGATTTTTTTTTTGCATATTTTTTTTCTTTTTTTTGCTTTCGACTGATTGATTGATTGATTGATTGAGACTACTGGCAGTGTGTTTTTTAGTTGAAGTTGGTATAAAACATAAACAAATATTTTTGTTTTTTTATCTTTTTTACATTTTTAAAGCATAACATAAAAGTATATATAGATTATTGGCATATATGTCTATATATATATATATAGTTGGTCAGATATCTGATTTATATAGACATATATACGCTTCTTCATACAGAATAAATTTGAGCTTTTTCCCTTCATTGCACCCGTAAAGCTTAAAACATACACACAGAACCGAAAACGGAAAAAGTTCAAACGCAATTCCAATGAAAAATTTCTCAATCACAGACCTTCACATAACGTTCCCATATAATATATATATATATAGATATATATATATTGGATATATATTATATTAACGGAACGATCGGTGTCTGCAACTCAAAAACTCAATAACTCAAAAGATCGAACTCGAAACGAAAGAGATTTGAAATCAGAAAGGAAACTCAAGAGTCGCTCAATGGCAGGCCCTCTCATTTACATATTTTTCTTTTGATATCCCTGCGCACTAAGAGTCAGACGCATACGTATATGTATATATATATAGTATATAGGCTATATAGATATAGGGGCTCTACGATTTAGATCTTAGTTCTAGGGCGTATCACTTACTTCTCGCTGTACTCGTCCATGTGGGCATACGACTGTACGGAGTTCTCTTCGATCAGGAACTTGACCCTCTGGTAGAACGAGGCCGTCACCGAGGGCGGTTGCTTACGCAGAAGGACCTCAACGGGATCATTGGAGGAAAGACACATAATATGCTCAGAACAGGCGGGATGTGAGCAGCATTCACTATCGGAACAATCGGTCATGCCGTCTATATAGTTGATGGGCGAATGGGAAATACAATATTACAATATTAATATCAAATTTTGTTGCTAATTTCAAATATTTTTGTATTTTTCTATCAAATTCTTAACTTACCTCCATCATTGTCTATATTATCCTTGCAATTGAGTTCCAGTGCAATGGAGCAGTCACTGCCAGCCCATCCTTCTATGCAATCACAGCGGTATTCGCCATTCTCCAGGGTGCACTGTCCATGTCGAGAGCAGCCATTTTCGCAGCCAGCTGGAGGTGTGTTAAGAAGTTGCTTGATTAGTTATCAAATGTTTAAAGGAAAATCCTCTTTCCCCTATAACTCTATGATATACCTTAAACTAGAGCTTGTTAACTGAAACCCCTTGCTTAGTATTATGACTTCCAATGATTTTCCCAATATCTACCAAGACTTAACAATCACTTTGGGAATTTTCATAAAAAATGCTTTGCTGTAATTAAGAGTAAACTGTCCGGATCGAGTGGCGCTTGAAATTGAATGATAACACCCTTTGCCCATTGCCATTTGCAAGGGAATTTCCATTTAACAGTGAAAAAAAAGGAAAAATAACGAAAATTCAAACTCCCCCTCTGCCCCACACCCGCTACCATTCCTTTAGCGAGAGTCAACATCATGAATATAAAAATAATGTTGATGTTTGCTCTCACTCTCAGTGGCAGTTAACCTTTGGCAGAACACTCGGCGAAATGTTGGGCAAACATAAAAACCCAACGAAACGTAACCTAACGATAGATGATTTGGCCCCATTCTAACGTTCTCTCTTCTCTCTCTCTTTTTTTTCTTTCTTCCGACTTTATTTGTTTGTGCCACGACAGCATTTGACGCAAAGTTAATGTCACTTGACATGTGTCATTTGCGAAATGGGGTAAGGTAACAGCACACCACCCCCTTTCCTTTCCTTTTTCTCTTTCTCTTTTTTTTGGCCTTTACACACACCATTTGGATGGTAAAAAGGGAAAAATACTGGGGGGAGGAGGCTGCTAACTCAGCTTCCGGCATGTTAAAAAGTTTGCGGCGCATAAAATGACTTCCCTGGTTGTTACTGCCTTCCTGTTTACGAGTCACTCAGCCCCCTCTCTCTCTCCCCATCTGTCCTGCCTTTCCCTGAGTGCGTGTTTGTGCACATATTGGCAATAACTTCAAGTGGTCTTGCAAATATTGAACTCTGCTGCCAGCAGAAAGGGAGTGGTGGGGGAGCAGCGTGGAAATATGTCAAATCTTTTGACTGGATTAGACGACCCCCCAAAAACTCCCAGCGAAATGGCCAAGTTTACGGCCGGATTTTTGGTAAAGGTTACCTAGAACGATGTACTTTGTTGTACCAACAACTTAAAAAACAAGAAATTTCATCAAGAAATTCGTAAGATAAATACAAAATAAATGCCACAAATGCCTTCTCACTAGCCTCTGGTTAAGTTCAAGTTTGCCAGTCGAACTATTTTCGGTTTTATTTGTATTTAACACAGCCAGTGTCTGCAGGTTTTTCACCTACCCCACCCATCTCTTTGGCTTTTCCAACCAACCAAGCAACCCCCTAGCAAAGCTTATTTCTCCTCTATTTTATCACTTTCGGCGTACAAATCCCTCGTTTTTTATGCCTGGCCATTCAAAAAAATTGTTGTAATCTCCCCCTAAACACACTTCTGCACATATTTTACAATCCATAATAAAATCCCAGCTAGCAAGAAAAAGGGAAAAAACAAGTAGTCAGCGATGGGGCACAAAAAACATTGTAAATATTTGAATGAGAGACCGGCGGGGTTATAGAAAAGGGAATAGAAATGAGTAGGGCAGGTGGTGGGTGGTATAGGAGGGTGCAACTAAATGTAACGACGACGACGACATCAAGTATGCATGTGGCTTTCGGGTCTGGAGATGGTCTACTATGTGCCCCTAGGAACAAACTCCCCTACAGAAAGAGCCAATTTTAGTGGAGTTTTCGGTGGCGCGTAATTCGCTGGAAATCTCTGTTTCGAATTCAATCAACTTTGCCGCATTGAAGTCGCCTGCTGACTGCAGTTCCAGCTGAAAGGTCTAATCTGTGCATAGAGAGACTCCACTTTTTTGGATGTGCCCCCAACACCCAGGGCACAAGCTACCCTCTCTCTCCGTTGGGCTGTCTTTTTGGCCAATTTCTAGCTGGAAAGTATAACTATAAGTAAGTTATATTTTCAAAGGAAAACTAAGAATTCGAATTTATAATCTACCACATAACTGATTTCAAGTAAAAGGTGGAGTTTTGGCCATAACTTCTATGGCTTCTCATAAAAAATGGAAAACTTGGTTAATCCTAATTTTTACCCCAAACCATCACAGAATTTTTTCTATAAATCAGTCAATAATCCAGTCCAAATATAGAACGCCATATCTCGCTGAGTTCGTAATTAAATTTCCCACAAAACTGCATTCACAGCTAAAATTGTTAATTTGTATCAATTTTTCTGAAAAAAGACAATGTTACCTCCCTTATCGAAAAAGTACATTTCAGTTTTTCCTTATTTTCGCCCCAAAATTTCAGTATTTTTCCGATAACTAAGCCTATGGAACACCATGCCTCGTTAATTTTTTTTTCTAATTCCTAATCGATCTGCTTTCAAATCTAATAAAGTAAACTATGAATTTTGGTCAAAAACTATTCTTATAGCTATCTGAAAAATCCAACTAAACCAAATGTGACAGCACTGACTGAGGCAAAGTCGTTAAGTACTTTCGAAAAATACAAAACCCAAAGCCCAGACACAGATACCATATATGTATAGTGGAGACTTCAACCCCTGCCCTGCCCATCGCCCCCTTTTTCACTTGAATCGATTGAAAGAGTGCCGCCTTCCCAGAGGGGAATGAAGAAAGAGGAGATAGACCGAAAGAGGGGCGCCACCGAAAAGAGTGAAAAGGGGGAAGGCCAAGATTGCTTGTGACTCTGAATGACGTCGGAAGTTTTATTGGTTTTGCACACGTCAACGAAATGCTGATCGCGGGTAAGGGATGACTTTAACCTCCTCCCCACCCCCATAACCACTTTCTTATAGTGAGGAGGGGGGAGAAGAAGACGGCTCGTAATGCCATTACATGCATGCCTGAGCCGCCGCCACACGTTTGAATGTTTTTGTAACATGACTGTTTGTTTTTAAAGTTTTAATCACTGTCAATCGATAGCTACTTATCATGCTGCAGTGCCAGCAGTGCCTGCTTTTCGTTCCACGGAAAAGTCGTATCCTGCTGCTGCTGCTTCTTTTTTTTTATTGATGTTGTTTTTTTGGTTGCGTTGCCTCAAACAACATGGTTAAGTCATGGCGGCAAAACTGTCAAACGCACTTCCAGCCCAACCAAAAAGAAGGAAAATTCCCAAAAGAGGGCGACTGGGCGGCAGGGCGGGTGGGAAAATCAAAGGGTTTTGTCGGAACGAAGCGAAACTGAAGTGGAGAGCAAATGGCGTAAACATGTACAAAATACTTTGGTGCATCGACTCCACGAAAAAAAGAAGAAACCCCGAAAAAAAGGACGAATTGATAAAAAGCACGACACAGCCACGTTGGCAAACGAAAACGCAAAACTTAAAAACAGCCACGACAGCAGCTACATTGACAGTGGGCGGAGGCGGTACACCAGGGGGCGTGGCTACTGCAGCAGACACAGCAATATTGCTGTTGTAAGGGAATTGGCTTGGATTTCAGCTACTGCCAAAAAAAAGTAAAATTTAAGTACAAAAATTCGATATCTAAAATATTTTGTGGGATATTCTTATAAAGTTTAAGAATCCCAAAATCCCATTTCCTAGTTTTTATCAGTGTATTAAAGCCTAAAACTAAATTCCCTTTTAACTTACGCAGCGTGCAGTGACGTCCATTCCAGCCTTGGGAGCAGACACAGGTGCCATTTTTGCATTGGCCATGTTCCGAGCAGCGGGAATCGCAGGGCAGTTGGTCGCACAGGTTTCCCGTCCATCCGGAATTGCAGCGGCATTTTCCGGACTCGCACACACCATTCCGGCCGCAATCCAAACTGCAGACAGCTGGAGGAAAAAAATGAAAGATAAAAAATATTAGAATGTCTATCATTGAAAAATATTATTAGCTAAACTTTTATACGTTTTAAAGAAAGACTTAAAATGAAATGTGAACTAAGAAAGGTAGGTGGTGGGGGTGCCTCGTTTTTTCCATCCAATTTTCATATTTCTCCATGTGCACATTTAAATTCATTAAAGCTTCTGTTTCAGAGACTCTGCCACTGCCACCGCCTTCTTCTTCACGTGGCAAGTGGCAAGTGGCATGAGTGTGTTGGTTGGGAGCCATAAAAACAGCATTATAAATGTTACATTTACGTGGTGGCACACTTTGCTAACAAGACCCACACCATTTTCATTTCCATTTGGCATCACCCGCTTGCTTTTGCTCTCTTTTCTTTCCCTCGGAGATGTCGCTTTTCCTCGACTCAACTGAGCCATTTTCCTTGGGAATGGTCAACTGTTCTGGTTCATAAGTTGGTCCATAGGTTGGCTGCTGTACGTTTACTTCATGGCTATTGATTCAGCGAACATGACTGCCTGGCTTGGCTTTCTTTTTTTTTCTTCCTTTTAGAGAGTTTAAGGATTAAGCAGATGGTTTTTGGAAAACTTAAGATAAGGTTTAGTTAGGGAATAAATGTTTTTAATATTAGTATTAGTATTAGCTTTCATTATAGTTCAAAATCAGAGCTATATCTCTCTCAAAATTTGAGATTTTTCATTGGATTTCCTGTTTGCCTTTGCCTTTGGCCCCCCAGCTTTAATTTATGGTTTAGTTCATAATCTGGTTTTTGGGGGTTGCTTCACGACCCATGACTTCCCCATGACTTTTGTTAGCAGGCGTAAATTTATTTTATTTGCTTTTCCAAGAGAGAGAACCAGGGCGGGGCAGAGCCAACCTGCGTATTAAATAAATAATGAATTTTTATGAGACTCTGCTTCATTACGCCAGGAGGAGTCGTCAACGTTGGTCCACCTCCCGACCCTTATATACAGTACTATATAGATATATATATATATATCCTATATAGTATGCACCCCCATCTCATGCCTTCCGCCTTTCTGGTGCTAAAAAGTTAAGCAAATTAGGAGTACGTGTCCTTTGGCCTTCGTCGTGGCATCGTCGTCGTAAGCTGCTTGTTTTATTGAGCTTCTGCCACTGAATTTTCCACCGATTCTCTGCTGATTTCGCTCTCAGCCTCTCAACCTCTATACAGGATGATTATGGACCGTGGACCGTGGGCCGTGGGCCTAATTGGGAAGCTCCGGCTTTATGGCTTAGCATTCCATTCTAATTTCGGGTTTAGTTGTGGCCATAAAACATCATCATATTCGCCGGTGGAGTGGCACCATTGTGGGCAGGGCAGGGCAGGGCAGGCCCAGGCACAAATATCATCTGACAGATCTGGTGAGTGATTGCCAGGCTATGTGTACCTGATTTTCCTATGGTTACGTACGGGCACTTTATGGCCTCTGCATAAAATACAGTGTGTTTTAGGGTGGACTTTAAGACTATGGGGTTGATTAGTTATTAGCTTGTCCACTCTAATTTGGCATTAAATTTGCAATTTTAAGAGTTTTGGGACTAACGATGGACTTGATGGCAAAAACGGTGACTCAAACATGTACTTTCAGAGTCTATAATTTGGATAAGTTAAGTCGGATATAAGCCAAAGCAGGTCAAACAATTAACATTTAAAGGCAGACAGTTACTGGATGGTGTTAAGGATATGGTTTAGTTACGACATCTCAACTCACCTTGGGAGCAGTCTGGACCCGTCCAATGGCGTTCGCAAACACATTGTCCCGTTTCCAGGTCGTAGGTTCCATGTTCAGAGCAGCCTGGCAGACATTGGTACACCTGCTGGTCGATCGTGCCACAATCCTCGCCCTGCCATCCGGCCTTACAGTAGCATTGTCCGGCGACACAGGTGCCGTGTCCGGAGCATAGTGGATCCAGGCAGTCATCTTCATATCCATCATCATCGTCGTCATCAGTGGGTGTTGTGTTGGGTGTAGGTGGTGGTGATGGTCAGAGGTCAGCATTTGATGGTTTTCGGGGCAGGGGGGAAAGAATATACAAAACGATTGTTAGTTAAAATACAAACACACATGATTGGAATACAGTGAAAAGTGCTTAAGGTGGCGTGGTAGGCAGTTCTTATGCTGGACTTTCTTGCTTGGACATTCAAGCTGGACTTCCTGCTGAGTTTTATAATTAGTTTTTGGCCTTCGACAGGTCCTTGCTCTTTGTTTTTAATAAATGAAAATCGATTTCCATATAACAAATTAAATTTATGATTTTTCTGACAGACAACTCATGGCTAGAATTTTCTTTTTTTGTACAGTTACTAGGTAAGATTTCTTAATGTAGTTTCCTAAAGAGTTTTTACTGTACTTAAGAAGGAAACCAAAAAAAAGAGTTCAAAGGCAGAAAGAGCGGAAATATATATATATTTGGCGGGGCAGTAAAATCGTGACAGTCGTGGCTAAACAAAAAGCTTTCCGCCATGGAAGGACCTCCTAACCTCCTATCTCTCCTTCCCGTTCTAGGTGACCCCCCTTCCTACCCCTCCCCATACTTCCTCTGACACACACACACACATGCACACACACACTCACACACACATGACATGATTAGTATGTTAGACACGTACAAAAGTGGTCATTAAAATGAAATTCCAGTTTAGTTCAAGTTGGTAATTTTGCGCAGTTGTTGCAATTTTTTCTTTTTGGCCCCCGCTTTGTTTTGCTTCTGTTTGGTTGGCTTTTGGCCATGCCTTGTTTCCTACCACCCCGCCCCCCACTTTGCCTCCTGCCTGATATTTTACTTTTCGTGCTGGCCACAGCATGTGTATGAGGAATATGCTCTCAACATATAAATTCGATTTTATACGTTTTATGTTTGCTCAACGTTTTTCCCGTTTTTCCGTTTTCCCAGTGTCTTGGTTTTTACTCGTTTTTCCTTTCCTTTCTTTTTTCTCTACCTTTTTTTCTCTTTTGTATTTCTGTTTCGTCCTGTTTCTGTTTCTGTTTCTGTTTCTGTTTCGGATTCTGTTTGTTGTTTGTCGCTGTTTGTTTTCGTATGCCAAGAGTCCGTTAGCCCACACATACATACAAAGCAGCTCCTTCCTTCCATGTATTGTTGCATGTTGCATATTTTATAAGCTATTTTTTACCAACATTTTTCGCTAGCAGTATACCCTGCTTTCAAGGGTACCCTACAATGTCTTTTAAAGGGGAAATTAACTTTAAATAACTTTATAAAAACCCTCAAAAAAGAGCTAAAAATTATATCTCTGATAAGTAAAATTCAAATTCAAAAATATCTAAAACTAAATTTATGTTCTTTGAACTTAAATACAAACAAAAGTATAACCTTATCTCTGCCAAATAAATTAGCAAAGAGACCAATGACTAAATGATTAGCCTTTTTTTAAAGGGAATTTCCCCACCCATGCCTCCTCCCACAGAGTATTTCCATCTTCTAAGCATACAATTTTCGGGGCTACCCACATTTTTCATCTTTGTTGTTTTTCCTCTACGAATTATTTAACCATTCTTTTGGCGGCTGGTTGCGAGCTCCTCGCCTTTCGCTCTTTAAAATTTGTTGCCTGCTTTTAGGCTAATTCAAAGTTATCTGAGACGCGGCCAGCCAGAGGGGTCAAAATACAAAAACAAAAATAAATTTACAATATATAGAAAGAAAACCCTGCAAGGGAGTCTCGAAAAAAATTGTTGGCATTTCTTTGCCTTTCGCTTTGTCAATTTAAGGCCCACACACACACACACACACCGAAAAGCGAGGACGGACGGAATATTTTTGGCCAAAAAAAAGTGCTAACAGAGGATGGGGAAGGAGGTGTCGTCGGCATAATAACTGAAATATTTTGGCATCCACTTGGATGCCGTCGTCCTCGTCTCTGTCCAACCTCTCATCCCAGCCCACTTGTCCTTGTCCGCTGGCCTTATCGGGCAGTGTCAACATGGCCCGGAACCGAGAGGCTGGGCGGGCTCCAAATTGCAAACAAGGCAAATAAATAATTTTAGCATTTTTATGCCAAGTCAGCAGAAGGCTGGCTCACACACACACACATACATTCACACAGGGGACAGGGACAGGGACAGGGACAGGCTGGCAGGCAGTCCTTGACACTTACGTTGATCGCAGTAGGGTCCTTTCCAGCCGCGCTCGCAGTGGCACTCGCCCTCGATGCAGCGTCCATGGCTAGAGCAGTTGGGCACCTCGCACTCGCCAACCGGAATGTCGCACTCAGCGCCCTTCCAGCCCTCCTCGCAGTGGCACACTCCTCCGCCGTAATGTCCATGTGCCGAGCACAAAACCGGACAGACGCCTGGAAAAAGAAATGTAGAAAAAAGAAAGCCGTGAGATGGGTAACAAAAAAAAAAGTAAAGAGAAATAAATTCAAATGAAGGAAAATATTTCCCAGAGCCTGCCTGCGCACAGTGGGTCAGGTCAGTCAAGGGCCTAAAAGGCACCTGAATCTAGACAGGATAATTGGGCTAAGGATAACGTTTTTCTTGAGAAAAATTCTTCCTTTCTTTAACTTTAGTTTAGTTACTAATAAACCATCAGCAAAGACTTACTCTTCGAGCAATCCACTCCCTGGTAGCCATCGATGCAGTCACATTTCCCTAGATAGCAGCTTCCCCTGCCCGAGCAGTCATTGGGACAGGTGGTGCTGACGCCTTCGGCTTCCTCGGCCAACAGGGATACAGAATGGGCCACTAACTCATCATTGTAGACGGATATGAACCACAGACCGGTGTCCAAATACTGCAACAGGGATACATTCACGGTCATGGCATCCACATCCAAGGCGGGCAGCCCATCGCCAGCGGATCGCTTGTTCATCCAATGGCTCTGCGGATTGTCAATACTCTGAAGATGCTGCTTGATCGTATCCAAAGGTGTTTCCATATCGTAAGATTCGTTGGACTCGAAACTGCTTCTGCTCTCATCCTGAACCGAATCCTGATCCTGGGCTGATTCTACACTCTTATCACGATACTGTTCCCTCTGTTCCTTGCGATACACCTCCACATCCTGACCAGATGTTGTGCCATTGGAGCTACGGCGATGTCTCAGGTGGCTATCCAATCGACCGCCCTTGATGAACTCCACAAAATCGTGCTGCGTCACCGAAGGCGCCACATTGCGACGCGAATAGACAGCAAAATGTGCGCCCCAGGGCAATGTGAAATTGAAACGGATGAATGCGGGATGTTTGTTACGGAATTCCAGGGTCCAGAACTGATAGGCGGGTATGGTGGCATGATAGGCCTCATTGAACTCCTTCAGTTCCACCACACCGCCAAGCTGAGGCTGCAGGGCCTGATGATGATGGCCATTCAGATTCCCACCCGGTTGCTGCATCAATTGTCCACCGAGTCCGCCATTCAGTCCACCGTTCAGGCCACCACCAACACCGGCCATTGCCCCACCATAGGTCAACTGATGGTGATCCTGCAACTGGGTATTTGTGGCATCCAATGGGGTCAGCGGTTGATTGATCGAATGCGGTTGCTGCTGTTGCAAGAGGAGCTGCTGTTGGATTCCTGTATTGCTGCCACCGCTGCCCGCCGAGGGATTCATCAGGCCATGACCGTTCTGGCCATGGTCCGAGGTGCTCGTCTGTATCGATTCCTCTGTGGGAAAGGCCGTGGCCACACCCTTATCGTTCGCTTTGGCCAATCCGCCGCGCAGATCGTGGGGCTGCGACTTCACGTCCTGGACTAGGATGCAGTTGGTGCTGTCCATGTTCGGTTTCATCGAGCTGACTGCTGTAAAGGGGTTAAAGAGAATGACTCAGTTAGTAAAAGGTTAGGGATATTTTTTTTAGAAGATAAAGTTATATATTATCTTAATAAGATACTAATAACTAAGGCCATCTTAGATGCACTTAGGCCAATAGAAAGTGCAATTAAAGCCTAAAGATTACGAGACATCGCCTGTTTTAAGGTTAACCCACAAAACTATATCCCATATCCTTCTGTTTCAGCTTTGCCTCTTGGCTGGATTTTCGATTTGGCTTGGCCAAATGTGCGCCCATAAATCGACAGACAAAGACGGGGTTGGGGGGGATATACCCATACCCCAGGCAGCGGTAGATAGACAAGAGAGAAGGCGCGAGAGGGGCGAGGACCACAGTGCTGGCCATAAATCTGGTCCTCATGCTGCCATTTTGGCCAAGAGAATCGCAATAATGTCTTCTGTGGTGCTGTAGTTGGTGGCTTCAGCTGCTGCACCGCCCTGTTTTTCACACATAAATTTTGGCATCATATTTTAACGCCATATTAATATGCACACGAGTATAAATCAAAAACCAGCAGAGCCTCCCTTCTCCCCCCCCTCCTCCTTTGACCCCTTGACCCACGCACAGACACACACAAAGTGGCCGTTGTTAACACGTTTGCATTTTGCTTTTGGTAAGCGTGGAGAGGAGGCAAGACCCCCCGCGCCCCACCGTCCTGGCTATCGTTTATCGAAAACTACCGACCGGCGATTTATGGCCATTGGCAGTGGGAATGCGGCGCCAGCAGGTCCTGGCCACATCCAGGACATCGACATCGAGAAAAGAGTGCAGGCAGGCAGGCAGGCAGGCAAATGATTGAAGGACTCGCTGTGGAACATCGACGAGCAAGGGTTAAATAAGTCGGGGGAAGAGAGGAGTTGTGATGTTGCAAGGAAAACTTTAAAGTCTTTTCTTTACTCTCTTAAATGGTAATCCAGAAAATCTTTTCTCAAAGACTTAAATCAAGCAATTAACCTTCATATCGATCCAAAATTATGTTAATGGGGGGGGCGGGGGCTCATATTATTCCAATGCTATATATAGATAGACCGTGCGGCCTGCCCCAGGGGCAAATATTTGAGGACGAGAATGTGTGGATCATAAATATATATGAATAATGGATAGCAGCAGCGGGCTGTCAGTTGGACAGACGGGGACTAGGTTCTTGTTGTCCTTAGACCAATTCCAATTCCAATTCTGGATACTTGACAGGACACAAAACATTCCGTTGACATGTAAACTAATGCCCCCAATTTCGGGGTAAAGAACGAAAGGGAAAAACCTACTATGGGGGTATCATTAATAAATTAAGACCTCGGCCCAGTTGGTTCTATTAAGTTAACAAGCTTTTCATTCAAGTGTCCCTGTCATTCCCCTGCCATTAACCAACACACAAACACACACACTCACTCACACACACACACACAGGAAAATGTTCCTTGAAATGGGTTTGGGTTTCCTTCCACTCGATTCGTTTCGTTTTCGGGGTTTCCTTTCCTTTTTCTACCCGTTGTTTTTCGTACACCAATTAAATTTGATTACAATTTGCTGGCCTCGCTTCCCCTTCCCCATTCCATTGCCACCCCCACGTTTTACTCTCGCTAATGGTTATTTAGTTAGTTTTTTTATTTCTCAAGTGGAAGAAGCCCAGGAAAAGTTGTATAGATTTTTAGCTTTATACGCGGGTATCTTCTCAAGGATGCACTTGGAGAAAGATACTCGTAATGTTAGTGATTAGAAAGTAAAAGTAGAATCCAAACTATAAAAACTTAATCAGATTCCAACTTAGAAACCTCGATCTCTCTTTGCTTCCAAATCACATTTGACGTAATCAAAAATTAATTACCATCTTGTCTGATCATTTTTCTCCGTTCACCTACATGTTCATTGCACATCATTAGTGTGTGACACATGCCACCTCCTCCCACCACTCCTCTGATTATTTTCGTGCTTGTTTTTGTTTTTTTTAGCATTTTCCTATTAAACCAAGTCCCAGCTCCACCTCCATCGTATAGGTGGGCGGCCACTCCTTTGGCTTTATTTTTAGACCCACTCGAGTTCTGCTCCAGTTGTTGCTGCCTCAAAGGAAAGGGTGTGCAACGGATGTGTTCGATTAATTATTTCCGCCCCTCGCCCGGGAAGTGGGCAATAAACTTTAGAAGCAACCAACAGCACCAGCAGCTCCTCTCCACTTTTCAATCCTCAGCCTGGGCTGGCCATGAATAAAAGAGTTCTCGTCCTCGCCTAATGAGACACATCGTCAGGCTTTTTGGACTAGGAGAACTACTACGACTACTACTACTACTCCTAGGACTAATTGCTCCTGCTGGGGCTGGAATATGAGAGCGAGGAAGGGGAAGAGAAGGGCGGTAGAGAAGAACGCCGAAAAGCCATGTCCAAACGTCCAGTGTCAGGGTCAGGCAAAAGTTACAACTGGTCTGGGGAAATTTATGAAACATTTTCTTAATTGCACTTCCTTGAGGAAAATAATTTATTTAAACGACATGCGCACACCTTTTTAGGAGAAAGACGGAAGTGGGAGACTACTGCCCTACGCCCTGCGGCCATTACAGCTGGCTGAAAGTGACAAATGTCCTGTTTGCCAATGTCCTTGTCTGCATGTGTATGTGTCTATTCCTGTGTGTGTGTGAGTGTTTTGTGTTTAATTTAAATTGAAATGTCTTTCGATATGTTTTTGTCCATTTCGGTCGGGGACTTTTCCAAGGAAAAGTCGAGCGATTTTAGGGAAATTGTTTGCGGCCTACGCATTAATTGAAACTTGACTTGGTTTTCTCTGTTTTTCCACCAACATTCTTCAGACTTTTCCCTCTGCTAATTGACTTTCTTTGTTGCGGCTGTGCGTGACGTTCGCATTTCCGGATGATTGGCCAGTCCCCTGACCCCTGACCCCTGACCCCTGACCACCATCATATCCATTCATGTTTTTCTCATGTTTTTCCAGCCCTCAAAAAAAGAGAGAAAAAGGAAACACGAAATGCGAGCAGGACAATTTCCGAGTGCTTTGCATAATTCGTTAGGCGCAAAAGGAAACCGCAGAAAAATGAACAATTCCATTCACTAATTGGCAGCTCGGTACAGTGAAACCTACAACACATCTATTCGTCGATTGTTGTGCATTTGACAGCACATACAGCACATTGCGGTTGAGCTGGGGGGTGGTGCTGTAAAAGCATTTGTCTATGCTGAAATTGAAAAATAGCCCAGCCAAAAGTCAATTACCACTGAGACGGAAGCCAGGAGATGTTTCGATGTTTCGTGGAAGAGAACATTGTGGAGAAAATGATTGAAAATTATTCTTTAGGGAAATATCAAGAAAACCTATAAACTTCTTAAGAAAACGTAACGTGAAACGTAAAACGTAAGCCGAGATCGAAATCTCCATTTTTCATAGCATACTTTTTAGCACCTGGTAACACTCAATCCTATCTAACTAATTTCCCCCTGAGAAATCCATCTAAACCATAATACCATCTCTACCCACTCCAAGCCAGCACATTCGTTTTGCCTTAATTAATGCTCGGCTACTTAAGTGCATCTCGTCGGTGGTAATTAAGTGAGCATTCGGTCGGTCGGTTAGTTACCTTTCGAGCGGCTAAGACGACATCCTAGTGGCCATAATAACAGCAGCTGGCATAATCGGCTTACAGTTGGCTAAGAGAACACGGCTGAATATTCCATGGAAATATGCATTCCGATGCATTGCATCGGATTGTGGAAAATGGGGCCAGCTCTGTCGGGCTTGGCCCACTGTGCCGACCATCTAGTTCACTCCCAGTACTGTTTTAACAACAGCAGTGCGGGAAAAGTGTGGGCGTTGGCTGTGGGGCTGGGACTGGGGCATAGGGTGGGTTGGAAAACCGCAACAGAGCCAAAGGCAGCAACAAATTAAATTTCCAGCAAACCGCATCGCAAAGTGAAATGAAAATAAAATCGCATAAACTACAAGGCCAGCTGCTGTAAATGACAACGCCGATAAGATGTTAAAGGGGGTCAGGTCAGTCAGTTGGTATGGTTCTGGTCTTTCTTTTTTTTTTTTCTCTCTTTTTTTTTTGCTTTCCAGAGGGGGTTTTAGGGATTTTCCCACACAAGGACAGGGAAATATATAGAGCGGGATGGCAAATAAAAGCTGTACGGACGGAATAAGCCCCATGGGGTCATTGCAGCAGCAGCAGCAGCACCAGCAGCAGCAGCAGCAGCAGCAGCAGCTATATAGTACAATAAGTGCAAAGGCAAAAGCAAAAGCAAAAGCAAAGGCAGTAAGGCATGCAACCACACAGCTGGTGGTGCAGTGACGTCGTAGCCAGTGGGGTTTTCCAAAAGGGGGGCAAGAGGGCGACGCACTGGAGTTTCAACACAGATGGATGCACGAACGCACTTGGCCAGTTGGCATGGCCAAAAACACAGGGAGAAAGCTAAGGCAGCACTTTTTGGAAAATGTTTAAAAAAATTTGAAGAACTAAAATAAAGTCTTAAAAATATATTTTAAGACTGTAAGAGATTTTAATATATAATTCAAAAAGAAATTTTAAACCTTCAAAAAAGTCAAACAGCTTTTCTATCATCAATCTATTTAAATTCCTATTTTCCTTGCCATGTATTCTTTAAGGGGGACAAAGGGAGGGAGGCGTGACCGGCCTCCATCTGGCTGCGAAACAGTGCATATCGAATGAGTTTCCGATAGTTATCCGCTTAAAAATCGATTAACCTATTTCCGATAACTACTGCAATGCGCATCCTGAAAGGGCCAGCTGCCAGTCAAGCATATTAACTGCCGTCTGCCTGTCTGTCTGTCTCTTTGTCTGTCTCTTTCTCCTGCTCTCTGTCCATCTCTTTTACACCAACTCTAGTAGTAGTACTACTGCTGGTGCTGCTTTTGTTGTGATAGAAAGTGGCACATTTGTAAATCGCTGGGCAAACATTTATGCAACTTTATGGGGTGGCGGTGGATTCTGTTGCTGCTGCTGCTGCGGTTGCACTTGTCACCGCTCTGCTTCTGCTTGCTTCTCTATCTCTTCTTTTCCTACCCAACGTTAGCGTAGCATCTCTCGCTCGCACTTTTGCTGACATTGCGGTCGATTATCGGGACAGATATGACAGCTGCATGCAGATCGCTGTATGCATCATACGCAAATGTACAAATGTGGACTTTAAGCTGTCAGTCGACATCACTTTGCGCAGCATGTTGCCAACTTGTCTGGGAAAATGGCCAAAAATGAAGAGGAATTTCAAAGGGATAATCACATTTATCTGAGAACTTAAAGTATCATGAATTATGGATAATTGCAGGCAACTTCTGATGTAGAAAATATATATTCCTTCTATGGAAAATTGCCTTTTGAAAGGGGAGTTTATCTTTATAATATTTTGATTTTAAGATGTTTTTGTTGTCTAGTAAATATATTTCTTCACCACCCTGAACTATTTTAAGGAAATCCCTAAAGGATAACCATTTAAAATCTCATTTCTCCCATACGGCCAACTTTCTTCTTCATGGCTTTGCCCTCATAAGTAGGCAACGGAAAAATATTCATTTTATTTTCACAGCTTTTTGTGTTAATTTGCTCGAAGCCTGAAATCTCTCATCAACATCAACATCATTTTTGGGCGATTGTTTATCTAGGAAGTGGGAGGCAGTGGGTGGTAGAAAGCATACCCAGCCAGGGTGCGTGGCATATGGAGACCGTATGTAAATCAAATTAAAGAGAACAACTCGTGAGGCTGACACAAGGCAAACAAGCAAACGCAAGCTGTCTGCCTGTTAATTAACTGACAATGGGCCTCACTCACTCTTATATTTGTATATAATTATACAGTTTCCTTTCCCCTCGCTGCCTGTATATACACATAAACACATCTTTATATACAAACATATATAGCTGTGTGTGTATTTTTTAAATACCCAAACAGCTGGCGCGCTTGAAACCGCAAGTGCTGGCTAATTTCATGGCGAATCCCTTAATTAATAGGAAATTATTAAGCCAACAGAGGGAGGAGGCGAAAAGTTGGACTACAACCGAAATCTGTATATAAAAATGAGGTAAATTAATTTCTGGTTCACCTGTTCCCCGTCGCTCTGTTTGTATCTTAACCCCCCAACACACACACACACACAGTTTCTAAAACTATTCAACCATAAAACGACCCCCAAAGCAGACAAATACACCCACACAGAGACAGGGACAGGGACAGAGAGCAAGGGAAAGCGTGAAAAGACAGAGGAAAAGCGTAAATTCATTTGCCACACACATTCACGCTCACACTGAACAAAAAGCTTTTTACACAAATGAGTTTATGGCGGTTAAATGTTTGTGGGGGGGAAGCCAAAACGACGGGGGGAAGGGTGGCAACCGAGGGGCGCCACAAAAATTAATACATTATTTTTAAAAGATAAATTTCAAGCATGTGCTGCTGCTGCTGCTGCTGCTGCTGCTGCCTCTGCTGACTGCCAACAATTAAATCAGTGAAATCCACACGCAGCACCCAAATATGCCATACCCATCGCCTCCCCCCCCATTCCGAAATCCACAAAATGTTCACAACTTTTCAACTTAAATTCATTTTGTGCCCCGAAAAAGTGAGATGGGAGGGTGGCGAGGTGGCGGGGTGCCATGTGCCAAGTGGCATCACATATATTTTTCCCGTGGTTTGTTGTAAATTTGTTTTCGTTCACTTGCAATCCTGTGACACCGCAGCCCCATCAACAACAGCAGCAGCAGCAGCAGCAACCTTGCCACCCATTACCACCCACAACCACCCACCAAACAAGCCGCAGCTTTTAGCCAACTGTAAATCAGTGCCGCCGTCTCTCGAGCAGCTGCTGTTGCTGCTGCTGCTGCTGCTTCTACTTCTACTTCTTCTTCTGCGTAGATAATAAATTAAACGCAGGGAGAAAGTGAGAAAAATGGAAGGAGGAGAGACCCAAGAAGAAAGTGTGCAAACGAGTGGGCAAATAGAAGGAGAAATGAGTGGCTAGAATTTGCTATGAAAAGCAACACCGAGTGGGGATGAAGTTATGGATGGCTGATGATAAAGCTAAGTATCAGACTTTCATTACAACTTTAAGACTAAGTTAAGTTTTTAGTTAAGTTTTTATTTTTAATTTTAAAACTTGTTAAGTAAATGTTACTAGCAAACATAACACTCTTCTAGTTCTTCTCTCTAAGCAAAACAATCAATCTCCGATTTCCGGCCAAACTTGTTTACCTGAAAACGTCAAGGAAAACAACGCAAATCACTCACTCAAAGACCCGCAAACAAATTTGAGCACGCGGCGGGAGAGAAGTCTTTTTTCTTTCAAGCTAAAGTTCAGCCACATAAATTTGAATGCCTTCGCGTAAGATTTATCAAAAAAAAACAGTTGGCAGTTGGAAAAATCCTCCATCCAAGGGGGAAACCCCCGCTGGAATGAGAGGGCCAAAAAGTGAGAAGAACCTGGCAGCCCAGATGTCGACGCACAGACGCTAAAAGTGTCCAAAAAGTTGTGCCAATGTTTCACTAGATAAAATGCCAGGGCGCCGAGCCCACCGCAGGAAAATTTCAAAGGGGATCAGGAGCGGGGAGGCAGAAGCAGGGGGTTACGAGAAGAGGTGACTGAGGAGGCGTCGTCATCGTCGCCATTGCCGTCAACGGTTGGCGAGGGGCTGACTGGATGACTGGCTGCCTCACTGACTGCCTGCCTGCCAACCGTCAACCCTTTTGTTTCAAATTAAAATTTACATATTTTAATGTGCAAAGTTTTTGCCAGAGCAAAACAACAACAACAACAACAAGAACAACGGACACGGACACGGACAGACAGTCAGGGGCGGCAATGTTAGAAGGGGTAAGCGAGAGAAAGGCTAAGGGGGTTATAGGTGGCAAGGACGGAAAGCCAAGGGTTCGCCAGAGCAGAAAAGAGAAATGGGCAAAAAGAATTAAATTGACCTGTAAATATAATTTGGAAGGCAGCAGCAGCCAGGAGGCAGCAGCAAGCACAAAACGTGTTTAATTATCAAGTTGTAAACAAAAACAAAAAGCAAAAAACAAAAAACAAAAACCAAAAAGAAAAAAAGGGAAAAGGAAAAGCTGGAAAAACAGGAAAATAAGAGGAGAGCAAAGGCGGGGGGCATAGCATCCTTCGGATGTGGCAAGTGCAACTTGCGAAAAAGGGGAAACATTAAAAAGCCATTTTAATATCTGTTACCAATTCAGGTGAGATCTCTGCCAGCAAGAGCATAACTTTTTTGCTGGCCTTTCGATGAGATTTATTTGAAAATTAAGTGGATTTAATAATTTAGTTTTAAGGCATTTCAAAATGTTTATTTTAAACTGCAAACCTTAAGCTATGAGATGAGAATTCCTTTTATTTCTCCTAAAAAACTTCCCCTTCGTTCTTTCTTCATTCAAATAAATACTTTTTCTAAGGCAAAAACTAACCAGAAAATAATATTTAAATAAACTTTGAAAATCCCTATAGCCGTGACATCATCATCATCCTCATGGACTCTGTCTGTCAATCGATCTGGCGGTTTTACCGATGCCATCGAACTTCGACCTCGGATGCGAGGGATGCGGTTTCTAATTGCTTGTCAGAATGTGCAGAATGCCGGCACATTTATCAATTAACATTTTGAGGCTACCCAACTATGGGATATATATCAAGATTATACAGAGAGAAAATATATATATATGTTAAGGACTTGACTTCTATTACTGTTAAAAATCTGAATTAAAGAAATTCTTAAATGAAAACTTTAGAGTTGAGTTTCCAAATTCAGTTACTTCTAAACATTATCTAAGAACAAATAAATCCAAATATTTATTTTCTCTGTGTATTCGCAGATACGAGTATGTGCGAGTGTTTACCTAGGCCAATGCTCCGTGTTGGGTTTCTCAGCCTGGCAATATGTCTGGGTGTGTGTGCGTGTGTGTGTGTGTGTGTGTGTAAGTTAACACCATTTAACGCTAATGTAAGGCAAACACTTTGATGTATTTGCCTTGTTATAGCTTGTTTGTAGTTTGCACTTATGTATACACTGAGCGAATATTTGCAAAGGTATATATGTGTGTGTATGTGTGTATGTATGTGTGTATATGTGTATGACTGGACGGGCGGTCGTCTTGTGTATTTTTCATTAACCGTGTTGGCATTATGACAATGTCCAATGTTTTTAGTTACAAGTTCTTACCTGCAAAGTATGCCAACATGGCGGTTAGGACGACGGATACGAATATTAAGGCGATGCTCAAGCATTTCCAGGAACATCGGTGCTGACAGCGTTTATCTATGTGAAACCTGAAAAGAATATACAAACAGAAAATGAAAGTTATGACGATGTTGAGAGAGAGAGAGAGCGTAGCAGATAGCAGCAATGTGCATTTGTAATTAACAAAAAAGTGGAACTACAGTGGAGGAGGAGCGACGACCACAAGACACAAGGAATAAAGCCACTCGCCTCTACTCTCCTCCTCCACTCGCCTTCACTCGCCTCCATGTCCTGGCCCACACGCATATCCCGTACTCTGTCCTGTGGCTTTAGACGCTTGACATATCACAAGGACCACAGAAACCATCCAACCAAACAAACACGTTTCGGAGAGAGCAAGGAAAATCAAGGAGAAACACGGTGAAAAAATATCATGGCTTTTGTGAGAGAAAAAGTATCTTCAATCTACTTGTTACAAAATGATCTATTTTCCTTGAAATGTTTTCCTCAGAAACATTGATAATGTTTGAAAACAATGTGACCTTGCTCGCAAAATGAAGCACAGTGTGGCCGCCATTTAGCCTGCAGAAAACCCAATGTGACCATGCAGTCAGCAGCTCTTAAGTTAGGAATTGCCTTATCTTCCTAATATCAGTTAATTATACTAATAACTGTAATGAAAACTAGCTATCTAATACAAAAAACAAACCTAAATTCAATATATTTCCTCTCTCTCTCTGCTAGAAACGCCAACGAGTTAGTACGCCAATGAGTTTGTCAACTGCTGGCAACAGCTGGTAACTTTTTTAATAAAGCTCCCAACCGAAAAGTCAACGCATGCAAAACGATGCACTGAGAGACTGAGGACAAAGACCACTCACTGCTCCCTTCAAGCCTCGTCCCTCCCACCCCCCAAAAAATAAAGGGTGTTAATCACACATACAGCCAGGCAGCCAACAAGTCTAAGCCGCCGCAGGCAGAGCTGTCAAGTCTTTCGGCGTGGTCGCCTCTAATTGCGTAAAAGTTGAACGAAACGCTGACGTAGGGAGTTACGAAATTTCTGTTCTGGAGATATGAAGGGGTGGCAGCAAAAGGGCCGCGGGAAAGAGGAAAGCAGGGGCATGGTGCCCAGCTTAAAGAGAATTAACAATTCTTGAGTTGGCAACTTTCAAAAGTTGCCCCAGAATTGGGTTAGACTCGAAAGTGTCCGAGTCAGGCCTTCAAAGGTGATTCAACTCGGTGAAGTAAAGAGAAAAATAAAAGGAAAACAAGAGCGGGGGAAGTGAGTGGAAAACCCCTAAAGGGAAAATTCCTTAAGGAGTTAGGCACTAACTAGGGAGCTCTGAACTGCGACGAAGTTTCTGATTTTCACTTTGACTTACTAACTCAGCAAGGTCTTTAAGGTAAACATCTCACAGGGAGAACAGAAAAGGATATTAACTAAATTCTTCTTTTCAATTTTATATATTTCTGAATTTGAATCTCAAGCTTGAGTTACAACATCACTTTAAAAACCAAAAATGGTTCCATCTCTGAGCATTTTCTGACTAGCCTTGCCAATTCACTGAAAACTCCCCCGAATGCTCTATAATCTGATGGAGTTTCCTACGCATTTCGTGGCATATATTCAATGGCCACCAACAGCTGACCAACTGTTCGAGATCGAGATCCTTCGTCAGATTGATAGACATCATCGCGGTCTCAGCATTGCTACATCTTTTCAACTTCTTCAGCCGCCTGCCTTGAAAGTCGCCTTGACCTTGATTGGATTCAAACTCCGAATTGGACTGGGAATGGTAACTTTGTGCTGGGCTCTTGAAAGGCATCCAGGAGTCGAGAGGCTGCCGATTTGAGTTGGCCACCGCATTCGAATGCTGGTGGCGAGGCCATTTCGGAAGACAACCACGAGTCTTGGTACCTCGATTATGATTATCCTGTGAATTCCGCAGCCGATTGTGTCCACTATAAACCTTATGGGCCATGCTTAGAGTGGCAATAATGCCCATTTTGGTATTGAAATTTTTCAAAAAAAAGCCAATTCTAAACTAAACAAATTACAAAACTTAAAAACAACTGCCTTAAGCCCGGTGAATTTTGGAAATCCAACTCCAATTGTTTGCCAGAAATCTCAGAGGTAGCTGCTAGCTAAGCTTAACATTAGGTATTTTCCTTTTTTTTCCTTTACTATAATTCGACACCTTTGTATGTTATAAAAGTGCAGAAAGGAATTCAGAAAAAATCACGGAAAACGTTCACAGTTTCTCAGTTAACTTGAGGCCAAAGGAAAAAGTCATCTCCCCTTGAACAAAATCAGTTGACTGGAAGTCATATCCACTGCACCGCCCCCCCACTTCTCACTCAATTTAACGCTCATTCACTCGAAGAGTGCTCACTGTGACCCCGGGTCGAAAGGGCCATATTTGGGGCCTTGTTTCCACTCCCTTACCCTTCCTATATATATATATATAAACTCACCTGGATGGCGAATATGGCGAATAATGCGGTGCATGCGCTGAGTGAGAATTACGCAATGGGAATCCGGGCATGACCAGCGGCTGTGAGCCGCTTATCTGACAATTGCCACCGTTACCGCTCCCGGGCGGACCGACGCCCACTTGTGGACCAACTCCACCACCACCGGGCACGCCTACTTGTCCACCGCCGCCCACACCGCCAGGCATTGTACCAGCGCCCATTGGCAGTCCAACGCCGCCGCGATCGATGCCACCATGGCCGATTGTGTTGCTGCCAGTTGACATACTCTGCGGCATCTGTTGTGGGTGGCCACCCAGTCTGCAATAGCAAAAAGAAACAAAAGAGCGAAAAATATGGGGAATTCGGTTAGTCGAGATACTTTTCAATGTTTTTTGGAAAGATGGAAAGATGCACTTAAACAGATGACTAAACTACGAAATGGTTAAGTAATAGACTAGGCGGCAGGCACTTTTGTGGTTCCTTTTTAGCTGTTTTAATTCAAAACTCCACTCCACTTTTTTGTCACCTTTTCTTAAAGTAAATCTGCTTTCATCCCATAACTTTAACTTCAATCCCATTTCAATCTCTTTTTCAGAATTTAACGATGTAAACCTTGCCGGAAATAAATGTGAATTAAAACCCATGACACTAATTTTCGGCCAGTGCACTTTTCCGTGTAATGCGGAAATTAAAACATGTGCAAAAGTTTTTCGCCCCACATTGGCCTCTTGCATCTCGCTTTTCGCTTTTCGCCAATCGCCTCTCGCCTGGCCATGTTACAATATTTAAATCGCAGCCTCGTGGACAAAGGCTTATTGTTGTTGGCGCGGCCCGCGCGCTCGCTCGCTGTTATTGTTATTATTATTATTTTTAACGGTTAAGTGATGCGGAAATTTTAAATTAAAAAACATAAATCAATGCATGTGTGTGCAGCAGCAGCAACGCCATTGTATGTTGAATCGAGAATGGCGAATGGGTTGCATCCACCAAAAAAAAAAAAAAAAAAAAAAAAGCACAAGGAAAAAAAACTTTCATTATCCCCGCCGCGACCGGCAGAGTCGGGCGCGGGTTGGATTTTTGTGTTGCTGTTTGTGTTTTATTATCGCTCAACATTAAGCGGAAATGCAGTCGCTGGCTGCCATTTCTCGATAACTGCCGCCATTGTTGGAAATTCCGCGAGTGCCTTCGTATATGTGTGTGTGTGTGTGTGTGTGTGTGCCTTGTGCTGCATGCTGGCTGTGTGTGGCATTTGCAGTCGCCGCCCGCAAGTATGCAACAGAAATTACAACTTTTTGCCTGCCTTCAAAGCTCAAAAACATTTCTCGTGAACCCAAAACGATAGCTATCTATGAAGAGGATATCATCTTACCCACTGATCAGTCAGCAGTTGTCACAGTTATTTTCAAGGTATTTCTTTTTTGCCTTTCTTTCAACCCAAAATTGTTGAGATTTTTGGCATAGAAACTCTTTTTGAATGAAAATATTTGCTAAAGCCTTCTCCCTATGCTTACCAACAGCAAGGATTTTTCTCACATTTCTAACTCAGTTTTTAAATTTAAAACTAAGCCACACTTTAGATACACTTTAACCATAGACATCTTTAGCAGGTGTTCAATATTTCTTTATATTTATTAAATTTCTTGGCATATTTTTAATCCTTTTTGTTTGCCAATCAAAAACCTCAAAGGCATGTTAAGCTATCTTGGGAAACACCTTGAGGGCAGGCATTTATTATGATTTTTTAAGTAAATATTTTCATTTCTTAAAGAAGACTACATTTTTCACGTATTTATTTAAGTTTTCTTAAATTCCTAAGAAAACATTTCGTTTCCTTAAAAACACTTGAAAGAAAGCCTCAAGTCTTCTGCCAAGTTTAGATTTTTGTATTTACTTTTCAGTTTTTACCTTTTACTGGGAAAATGCAAGGATTTCCATCTAACAATTAATATTTATCATAAAAATCTTTAACCATTTAAGGAATAACTCTTTTATTTATCCACTTTTCATGTAAAATAGAATTTTCCTTAAGGAAAATATTTTAAAATCTCTGTTTAGGCTTTTCAAAGTCAACTCCTAGTACTTGATTTGCAAATTCCCCCCAAGTACAGGCCCAGCCACTGGTTTGGCTGACCCGCGTTTTAACCCGCTTCGAGGACCTTATCTCTGGGCCATATTTGCTTTTTTTGTTTTTTGCTTTTCTGTTTTTGTGATTTTGTTTTTGTATTCCCTGGCCGAGAACCAAACAGCCAACAACCAACATCATTGTCATTGTACCGAGCTCATCGTCAGCTGCTGTCGCGTGCATTTGACATATCACATTTGGCCCGATTCGTATCTGTTCGTTTTGCTTTTGGTTTTGGTTTTTGGCCCGCTTTGGTTTTTGGTATCACCGCTTACGTTTTACTCCTTTTTTTTTTTTTTTTTTTTTTTTTTTTTTTTTTTTTTTGGTTGTGGCTCTCCGCTTTGGCCGCCATTTTGGCTTTGTTATTTATGGCCATGTCAAGCGGTCATCGGCGCTGGTCAAGCGTGTGCCACGCCTCCCTCCACCACTATCCGCCGTTCTCAGAGATTTTGGCCTGCATTTGACATGCGGTCGTTGTGTGCGGGTGGTTTGCGTTTTATTTTGATTTTATATATTTTTTTTCCCATTGAAATTTAAGCTAGCCCAGCCTAGCCTAGCCCTATAATAATCCTCAAACCTCTGCGAGGATATTTCATATTCAAAATTTTCCAAAAAAAAAATGAAAATGAAATTAAAAAAGGGAGAAAAATAAAACAACTCAAAAATCAAGCTGCAAATTTACGAGTTTTTGCCACAAAAGTTACTAGATCAGTGTAATTTATAGCGAGAGAGAGAGAAAGAGAGAGAGAGAGAGAGAGGGACGGCACGAAGAATGCAAAACAGAACAATGAATGGCACCCTGGGGGTCTCCGGTGTTGGACAGAGACAGCTGCAAGGGCAGCAAAAAGAGAGACAGGGCAGTAGAATGGAAAGCCGCTTACAACAGCAGGCGCACAAGACAAATGTTTCTCTGTCTGTGTATGTGTGTGTATGAGTATGTATATGTGTATGTGTGGCAGTGTGCGTGCGTATCTATGTAAGTTAAGGAGAGCTTAGCAAATACTAAGCCAGCCAGCGAACAGCGCAAGCTGTGCCTGTGATTTATTAGCAACAATAATAGAATTAAACAATTTAAATTAAGTTGTAGCCAAAAACCATAAACAGTCTGCCAAACGGACCTGCGGGTTAGGCGCCATCACCCCCCCACCACCACTCGCCGCTTACAAGCAACACTCACACACGCAACGTTTTGTTGCTACAAAGTTTGATACCCTCGAAAAGTCAGGGGGTAAACGAATTGGCAAGGTCTTGACAAAGTTGCATGAGGTAAATAAAGTTAAAGATGGAGAAATTGTAAAAGTTCCGTATAGAAGGACCATTAAGGATGATGGACCTGGCTTTCCTCCTTCATCAAAATTAAGATGATTAGACACAGACTAAACGCCCTTCGAAAGAAGTATCTTCAAGTTCGTGGCATCGAAATTCAAATGAATCGCTTGACCAGCAGCAGGCGACAGAGCAACGGAAGCACAGCTAGCTGGGGGAAAGTTGGAAAAGCGACAAAGGGAAAGGTGGAGATGAAATGGGGAAGGGAATAGAGTGGTAAAGAGGGAAGCGACTTCCTCGCGCTGCTGGCGGGGAATTACAAATGCTTCCTGTGCATACATTTGGCAGCAGTTTGTGTATGTCTATGTGTATATGAGTGTGTGTGTTTGTTCCCATTCTGCTACCGCTTTTCCACTTCGTGTGTGTATATTGTTGCCATTATTATTGCCGTTGACCAACCACAGCAGCAACAGCAGCAGCAGCAGCAGTTCCACTTTTGCCCCACTTTCCCTCGACTTTCCATCCATGACACTCGACGAAAGTTGTGCACACGCAATATGGAGTGGAGTGGCGAAAAAAAAGGAAAGCGCACAAAAAAATGTTGTTGCATACTTTTAAGTGCAGCGCATTTTGTAACTCAAAATGGCAGTTTGTATATGTGTTTTTATTATTGTGCCTGTTAGTCAGTGTGTGTGTGTGTGCGCGCGTGTGCTTGATTGTTTAATTTAATTTGGATTTAAAAGCAACGCATAACAAAGATTGCTAGCAATTATTTTTTGCCCAACGCTCTTGTTATTCAATCAAATAATATTCATTTCATTTGCAATCAACAACAGCACCAGCAGCAACAGCAGCAGCAGCAGCTGCAGAAAAAGTTTTGCTTTTATTAAATTCTGTTTCTGTTTATTCCGCTTTGTGATAATAAATACTGTTTTTTCACTGTCCACTGAGAGCGGGGGGGTGGTTGGGAAAGAGCTGAGAGATGGCGATAGTTTGCCTGAAAGGGACATAAATCCAATGGGGTGAAAGAAGTCCAAAAAAGAGGAGGAGAAATGCAGTTTGGGGACAGCATTTGAGAATGAAATTGAAGGACTTACTTTCTGCTTTTGCCATATAAACCGAAATTGTGGGTTTTATTATCAGAAATTTTGGGTTTTCATAATATTACTAGTAGTAGTACTAGCTTATTTATCAACAAAGAAAAAATCTTCGGAAAATTCTACTCTTTATCTAACACTTTTCCAACTCCTTTTTGATTTTCTAAATTCCAAACTTACTCCCCCCTCCCTCTCAACCAAACTATTAATTGTTTTTCCTCAAACCTCAAAACAATTTCAAAAACAAAAAAAATTTCACCAACTCCGATTGAGAAATTTCCCCTCGACGGAAACAGCAACAAAAACTGTTAAATAAATTTGATCAGTTTCCCTAGCTTTTACCCTTTTCTCTCTTTTTTCGTGTATTTTCTATTTTTTCTCTTAGTTTTCTCCCTCCCTCAATTTCAGTTGCTTTTTTCCCCTAGAAAAGCGATCGAGCCTCGAGGCCATTGAACATTTTCCGCAAACTTTTTCAATGGGCCACCCACACACACACACATACATTGCATTGAGTGGAAGTGGAACAAAACTATGAATTTAGTTTTTCTGGCATTGTTGGTTTAACTCCCCTTAACCCTTGGCAGTCCCAACATCGGTTTCGTGCCTCACAAAGCGAAAACTAACAAAAACGCCCACCAAAAACGTGATTTTCGCCAAATTTCACAAACACACACACACACAGAGAAAGTTGAAGAAGCGAAAGAGATGGCATGAGCTGAGCAGAAAGAGGTGGCATGAGGCAGCAGCCAAGATAAATCCAAACAAAATTACACGCTGTGTGCGAAGCGCTGAAAACGTGCTAGAAAAATGAAGCGCGAAATCAATAATAACAC